AACGATTCAGCAATAAATTGAACTGAGAATCTTTTGAATGTAGAAGACAGTAATCTCTGAAATCCCTCTTGTTGTTAATGTGATAGTTCCTCACTCGTATTGAATAACCGTTGTGATACATCTCAAACTACTTAAAGTTAAAAACCATTTAATACAAATTCAATGAATAAACGACATTATACTCATTACAAGACCTAAAGATTATAGAGTATATGTAAATTATAAAAGAGTTTGTGCTAATTCTATCCAGTTTTCTGTTCTCCATCAGCTTCATTTAATTCGTAATGAAACATAATTTAACATTTGCTTTATAATTAAACCAGTATGTTAGTTCACAATATATATGTATCCACTTTACAACATAAATTGACGATCTATTGTTAAAGTAATTCAAATTCATCGGTCAACATTTGTACATTAATTCGGTATGTAACTTCCATGAATAATAGATGAAAATTCCTCTTTCACAAATAGCGTATTATATCTAAGTTTATACAGTACATTTAAGCATGAATCACTAAGCTATTTGATTAAAATAAGATTTCAAATTATTCATATAAAGACAAGGTTAGATTTACCTAATAAATCTATGATATAATCTTAGCAATGGGTACAGAATCAGACAAGTTTCTTTTCTACTTTCAACTTATAATCATTGAGTTATGAATTCAAACCCATCATATATTCTTTCTATTACTTACAATGTGAGTGAACAAGTTTAATACAAATTTCTAGAAATGTATCATAAATTTTTAACTTTATTATGTTTACTAATATTTTGGTAAAGCTTATAAAACAGAATAGTATCTCTTTAAGTAAATTTCTACCAAAAAATACAGTTATTGTCAGTATAATCTTGTGGAGATCATTAAATTTTTGAATGAGATCATGAACCGATTGATATAAGACCACCATGGAAAACCTGGAATCACTGGATGTCTGTTTCGTCCTATTGTGCAGGGCGCATCTACGATCCTGCCCTTGGGATTCGAGCCCAGAGCCTCCAGTCTCGCGAACGAACACTTAACCTCTAGACTACTTAACCGACATCCAATGGGGTTAATGTCTAACTTCAACCAATACACGATATTGCGCGACTACCTTCCATTGTACTGAGGTAGATAACTGTCCCTACCTGACACGGATTAGCTCCACTGTTCACGACTTCCCACTAGAACTGCGAGAATTTCCTCACGAAGCTCGTCACTAGTGACCACATGGCAGTTATCAGCAGATACCTGTCTCTACCCCACATGGATTAATTCGTGTTCATTTAACTTGATAACTTCTTAATATAAAGTTTTTCTTTGAATTCATATTATTATAGAAATTTTCATCTTTTTCCTTTGTAATTTAATTGTTGAATTCATGAGTCAATTAAAGCTAGACCATCATGGAAAACCTGGAAGCACTGGACGGCCGTTTCATCCTAGTATGGGACTCCTCAGCAGTGCGTATCCACGACCCCGCATCTCGAGATTAGTATTTTTATGCACTATTTCACAAAACATTTCAAGTCGAACTTGTTTTACGCAAATATATAAAACACAGTGTTCGATTGATTTTGAAATCATATGCCAGAATATAAAGCAAATGTTAGTGAAACAATGGCAACGCAACGAATGTGCGCAACTCAGAAAATTGAAAAATATACATAAGTTTTGAAATAATGACACTTAAAGCAATTTCTTATTAGGTATTACTTTAAACCTGTCAATCCAATTTAGTCATTGTGTTTAACCTAATTTATTGGTTTGTGGCATTTTGTCTCATATATGAATGAATGAAAATGTTCTATATAAAGTAGTATCAATTTCTATTTAGAAAAGAAAATTTTACAAACAAATAACAAAACAAACAAAACAATAACTATCTCTGTCACTCAATTCAGATAGATACCATCAATTATGCGTTCGGACTGATTTGTCTTATGTAGCTTACTGTTCTCAAATAACAAGAGATATATGAAATGAAGAAGTTCAACCGCGTCTGTTGTGATATAGTAACTTACCGATGACGATAGTGGGTGTGTCTCTCAGTTTCGTGGATTAGTTAAAGTTAGACATTAACACTGTTCGATGCCGCCTCAGTGGTCTAGTGGTTAAGCGCTCGCGCTCAAGACTGACAGGTCCTGGGTTCGAATCTCGCAGGGGGCGAGGTCGTGGATGCGCACTGCTGAGGAGTCCCACAATAGGACGAAGCGGCCTTCTAGTGCTTCCAGGTCTTCCGTGGTTGTCTAGCTTCAAATGACTCATGATTTCAGCTATTGAAAACTCAAATGAATGCCAGTTTTTTAAAGATTTCTAACCACAGTGATAAAAATAACACAACAAACTGAGAAATCTTATTAAGGAATTTCATTGTAGTAGTTTTTCTTGATGTAAGTTCATGTCAAACTATAAATGTTGAAAATAATAACTTTGATACAGTTGATTAGTTAAAGAAATTATAAACTTTGTATAAACACACACTGTATGGAAGATAACAACTACAACAACAACAACAACAACAAAATTAGGAGCCTACTGTGTTTTATTCAGCTAGTCTCTTTTATCAATTTTAAGAATAACGAGTTCTGCATATTTTGTTACGTTTTCCTAATAGCTACATATTTATTCAGAGAAAACTTGGAAAAAGAGATCAACAACAACAACGACACCAAAAAGCACATAACAATCAATGTAGTTGCATCCTGAAGACATTGTCATTCTTGATTGTGGTAAAAATATCTAGACAATGGCATGATATCAATAGATTTTGAAAGGTGCCATAGATTAGTGATTCATAGATTATTGTTGCTTCTTTAAAGAAGTAGTTTAAAGTTTAAGCGTTCGCGTGCGAGATCAATGGGTGCTGAGTTCGAATCTCGTGAGGTGGACTCATGATCTCAACTATTAAAAACTACAGTTACATTTATTTTGAATACAGTTATAACAAGTATGACAAAGAAAATACTTGATAAATCTAAAGTCAACTCTTGAACTTCTATTTAAATATGGTTGCAAAGAATATGAAAACGGGATATTTTTCTACAGAAAATATTATTAAGTGTAATAATTTAAACATAAAAAGGAATTCTTATGAATCATATCATATTTGTAGAATTCAGTTAAATAAAGGAAGAATAACATTCTGATAATAGATTTAAAGTTACCAGTAATATAGTTTCAGGGAATTCTAGAAATATACTTTGAAATCTTATTATTTTTTAAATTTACTTGGTGTTGTTTACTTGTACCTTCCCATTGTTATTTAGGACTGCAATTGATCAACCTCATGTTGACAGATATGGATCCTGTGTGGATTGCCTCGATATTGCCCTAGGTCACAAGCTTTATGCACAAAGATAGATAATGGCTAGCAGTAGAACTCAAGATGCGCGTTTCTTCCTATTTGGGACTCGTCAGTCGGATGTACCTGCACCCCGTAACTCGAACCCAGTGCCGTTCACTTCAAACGTCATGGTGTTATTCACTTGTTATTTTTTTCAAAAAAAAACTTTAATCACTTTTATTTCACACTGACTTATTGAATGTCTAATTTATGAAAAAAACCTTCTAAAATGACTGTACTTAAAGTTTGATTATCTGTTAGGAAACAAAATTAGGCTTAGTTTTATAACTGCTCTTTACAATTCATATATCGATCGATAAACTTCAATCGTCAGTGAATATTTTCATAATGAAACCATTGTTATCTATTTGTACCTTTGATTAGATTTTCGTCTTATTCTCTATTGATGTTGAAGAAATAATCAAATGGTATTAACTGTTGAATAACATAGAAATATTAAAACGAATTATATAAATATAACTGTAAATGTACGTCATGCTTTTCATGATATATTAAACAAGAGAGTAGTTATCTGATGTATTGGGAAGTACTATATTTTTAGGAGTCCACTGTGACAATAATAATAGTTGGGAAAAAAGGAGAAACTCAGAAAACTCCAAATAAGACTCTTGCTTCAATTGTATTTCTTTTTACCTTGAAGAATATTTCTTCCTTGATCAATGCTGCTACAGTTACTGAAGAAAAACCTAGGGGAAGTTTTCTAAAGTTCTTTTATTAATGAAGTTATATCAGGTCAAACTATGTAGTTAACTGCGATAACCTCAGAGGGACCCTAACTAAACATCAGAAATATTATCTGCCGTAGAGCTCTGTATATAAATATTTTAAATAAACTGAGTAATCTCTTCTAGACTACAAGTAATGAATCATTTGGATGACACACATTAAGTCATGTTTTTATGAGTGAAATAGAAGCAAACTTTAAAAAGAATCTTTCTGTTTATAACATACATTTTTATTCCACTAGAACGCTGAGAATTATATAACCGTGGGAAGAAAAATTCTTAAATAAATGGGAAAATGCTGTATGGTTAGGATGAGACAGAAATATTATAAGCTAAATAACTCATATTGTATTCTCGGGAAGTCAGAAGGCATTAAAACTATATGTGAGCTAAGTAATAACATATATTTGGATGATTAGTGTATGTTCAAATATCTGAACGTACATTCTCAAGTAATTTCAGCCGAAATAGAATCCTGGTCCAATTTTCTTTCGCTTTTCGCTGATTCTAGGGTCGAGTCTTTTCGAATCTGTTATATATTCCTCAGGATAAAAAATATCGTCATTTTCCGAGCCACAACAATTCTGTGTCCTTTCATTGGGTGTGAATTTATAGCTTCCCATAACGAAGTGTTCAGGATGAGAATAATAATCATAAGGAAGTGCATGCAACTGAATAAAGCTAAGCAACATAAAACAATGGATGATTAACAGCATGCTTCAGAAAGCGTATTGACAAATAAACCCTAACCACTCTATTTATATTTACAAACATACAAGTCAAGGTTGAGTGAATTTTGATTCATTTTCATAAAAAAGTCTTTGAAAATTCGGGAGCCACATATTTATTTTGAAATGATTTGTTAGGAAAGTTATCAAAATAAAGGTAATCTTTTTGTTTGTCTGAATCATTTATTATGCAGAGGGCGTTTCATATCTTGCGTTACTGGGGTAAGTCGTGTAGTGAGGCGGTTGGAGGAGAATATAAGGTTTTGCAAATCACATAAAATTTGTGAGCTCTGATATTTTTTAGACTCGAAATGTTTAAATGTATGACAGCTGGATGGACAATTTATTCAATCTGTGCAAATTATTAGCTAGCTTAACACTAGATTGCTATATGTATACATATACTTATATATATATATATATATATATGTATATATAAGTGTTATATACTGATAGCTTTGAGTTAACCTCAATTACTTTGCGCAAATTTTTTAAGTGCAGTTATTGATAACGTGCGTGTCATTATTTAGCTGGTAAAAGTTGGCTTTTAAAATATTGAGAACCAATGTAAATACCGTCCATACACCGAAAAAATGGATTTTATAAGTAGCTTAAGGTAGTTCATGTGACATAAACGATTCCAGGCATGATTACTTTTATGAGCACTGAATGGCATTCATTATGTAATCAAGAGTGTTTAGTGAAGCTTGATAATCTCCCCTTCTTACTCTCATTAGGAATCTGGACTTCTAACTTCTTAAGTACGTTATCAGAAATGTGACAAGGCATTGCTTTGTTAGTTCTTGTTGAAAACCCTGACACAAAGTTTGTAAACTACTCAAAACTCCAATTTTACTCCTAATTCATAACCCTTTTGCATCACAAGTGATGCAAACGGCTAGACAGCCGTTTCGTCCTAGTATGGAACTCCTTAACAGTGTACATCCACGATCCCTCACTGAAGTATATGGTGGACGGTCGCTCAATATTAGACATTAACACCGTTAGTTGCCGGCTCGGTGGTCCAGAGGTTAAGCGTTTGCGCGCAAGGTCAGTTTTATCACGTATACTTTTGGCTTTCTCGTCACTGAATTCAACTGTAATAGGTCATTTTAATGTGTTTTTTCTGCGTCTAGTTAGGCTCAAGCAAATGCGTGCTCGTATTAGAGGATGATCAGAGTCCTAATATGTACTCCAAAATGAATCGAACCTCTTCAACGATGACTGGTAATATAGTCTATTTGAGTTCAAGGGGTTGCCATGTCAAACGATCTCTCTCCTTATGCTTAAAATTAGTGCTTGTTAAAAATAAACGATTATTAGAGTACAGTTGCAACTGACGGTCACCATTATCTGTTCGCTAAGCCTGAATATCGAAATACCCACCTAAATGTCTTTCTGTTTGGCTTAAGCTACCTACCTGTGTATTAAAGTCACCTGTATGAGTGTTTAGCTTTTCAAGAAGTTCAGAAAGCTTTCTGTAAAAGTCATCTTTCACTTCATCCAGGTTGCAGTCAGTGGGAGCGTAGGCAAAAACGACGAAAAGGCAAAGACATGTGTCTCTATCCTTCCGAGTTTTCACAGAGCCATTTATCCGAACAACACTGGTGACTGTTAACAGGGATCCATTCTAAAAGTGCTTCTTCTGTCCTCATATTTGGTGCCATGCCTACACTCACCAGTTCACGAGAACTGGTCATCGGGTCACCAGATACACGGAGAGTGTATCTCGTCCTCTCCCCGTTTTGGCGAGATGAGGTCAAGTGAATGATCACACTAGGATCCTGTATGCATGTTTTGGAGAAATAGCATATATCAGTGGTACGAGATTCTAAGGTTTTAGTCAAGGACGCCTGCTGCCCGATTCGACATAAGGTGCGTACATTGAAGGCTCCAATGAGTAGTTTGGAGCGAGGTTTCAGAAGATCTAGACAGTATTTCGCGCACTAGAATCGTTGACTAAGGTGACACTTGAGGAGGAAGTTAAAAGAGGAAGTTTAGAGTTGAAAGTCGAGGTAGGAGGAATAGTAGGAATTAAGGAAGGCGATTGATTATGAATACAGTGGTTTTGAGTGTTGTTAGAGGTATGCAAGAGGTTATCACTTTCCGGTTGCTTACACAGTGGAAGGGTTCTTCTAGAGGTACGTGTAAACGAAATTGGGTTAGAGGTAGTCTTAGTGACTGAGGGCGTGACCGCAGTACCCAAGGGACAGCTGCTTGAGGCCGGTCACACTCAGCCTTTTTGTAATTTCCGTGTTAGCTACTTACATGTTAAAACCTTGCAGCAGGAGACGGAAATCTGTGGGATAAGGCGAGGTGTGCATTTTTAGGGTTGACCTTTTCTAACCCTGTCCTTCCTTGTAGGAAGGCAGCATCTCTGTTATGATGGTTGTCTGGAGGAAATACGTTACTGCCGTCACACTTCTATACAGTTAATAGTACGATTTCGCCCTCGGACCTTGGGTTTAGTGTGTTTAGTCTTGCCGCTCTTCAACCGACCTGTCTGGCGTGGTAAGGTAGCAGCAACGGTCGGGGTAAACATCTGTAGTACATAAACTTCTCTTTGAAAAGGAACGTCAAACCAACGAACATGAAAAGGGTTTTATATGGAGTCCGCGAGGCATTTAATCTATTTACCAACAGCAGATTCATGGACTCTCCCAAATACCCTGGTACAGCCGAGAGTGGGGAGAGTCCGCTCTCCCTCTCGAAATGCTCTCACATGGACACGTGTATACAACCACTGCCATGGAAGTCCTACTCATTGTCTTCTCGCGGTATTACTATTGTTTATGAAATTAAGAGAACGAAAAGCGAATGTCCGGTGCTTTAACCGGGTTGGTGGATACATAAGATTCACCTAAGGGAGTTGGAAAACCCTGATTCGAAACCAATGGTGCACATGGTCTCCAGTATCCTGAGGGAATAAATGGCATGTGAACCCACTGTTGGGACTGAATCTCCTGACGTTGCTCCACTGCCTTGTGGATTAGACCTTTAGGTCGATAGCTGCGGGCGTGGCCCCTAAGATAGCCACCTTCTTCGGTTTGGGCACCCAATGGTGCACATGGTCTCCAGTATCCTGAGGGAACAAATGGCGTATGAACCAATATTTGGTCACCGGCTACCATAGGGCTGCATCTCCTGACGTTGCTCCACTGCCTTGTGGATTAGATCTCTAAGCCAAGACTCCGGGTGTGGCAGTATCACAGCCATTACACAATTCAATGATAACTGCTACTGGCTTTATTATTGTGTGGCACATATGTATGTTTGCTCCCTCCTAACAGTTTATTGATTTAGAAACTTCAAACAGTTTAGTAAAATTTTCAAAGGCATACAAATCGGGTTACTGCAAGCTTAACGTAATCTTCGATAAGGTTGTTGGGTTGTCTATCAAGTTATTGTGTGTTATTGATATTGATAACATTTTCTCTTGTCTACGTTTGTTATTTTAGACATATTCTTTGCCTGAAACTTAAACAAACAACTTAAACATGGACGATCAAGCAAGTACAATGTTAATTCATAACAATATTCATTTATTTCACAGCAACAAATGCCGTGTTGGTACTATGAAAGAGAAGAACTATATAAAACACCATCATATTATGATCAAATTGACCATGAAACAGAGACACGTCATCGTAGAGAAGGTGCCAGATTTTTATCAGCTGTTAGTACCAAATTAAACCTTCGATATGATACATGTGCCACTGCGATTGTATTCTTCCATCGATTTTACATGTTCCATTCATTTAAGGCATTTCCACGTTATGTAGGTCTACATGTCAGGTTTTATTGTTTATGGATATCCTTTTGTAGGTAACAGCTGCTTGTTGTTTAATGTTAGCTGGAAAAGTGGAAGAAACACCCAAAAAAGTTCGTGATATTGTTAAAACTGCTAGATCATTATTGTCTGATGCAGATTTCGAACAATTTGGAAATGATCCTAGGGTATGTTGTATTGTTATTTGTTTGAAAATTTTTAAAAATTCCTCTTTCCTCATTTATCCTATTATTTTTAGGAAGAAGTAATGGCATTCGAACGAGTTTTACTGAAAACGATTAAATTTGACTTGCAAGTTTCACATCCATATGCTTATTTACTTCAGTTCGCAAAAAGAATTAAAGGTCAGTGTTCAATGCTCATCCATTAATATATAAATATTAGTCTTCATTATTTTTCAGGGTACAGGAGCAGTAAGTTAGTGTAACTCGACAATCAGGTGAATGCTCATATATTTTTGTGTAAAGGTTACTGATAACATTCAGCTACTAAAACTGAAGTAATTAAGACAGGAACACAGACACACTTATTGCTATTCCTTTTTATCTATTCTACTTAGTTTAAGTGTCCGTGCAGAGTCCTTTGCCAAATTAGTGGTAGCGATTGGCTTGTTTTATTGTGTAATACCAAGAAACTTTGTCGTTACCCCACAAGATAAAATCAACGTTTTAGATGTTTTCGTGGAATATAGTATAATGATAAACTGTCCTTTTGTTATGTGTTTACACATATAATTGTCATAGGAGCGCTACCCTAATTCTTGAAGAACTTAAATTCTAATCACTTGGCCATACCTTTGGCTTTCATTTTATTCAGCATGGTTTTCAGAAACCATTACACTTAAATTATGTCTAGCAGACAATCCTGTACTTAGGTTTAATCAGAATAGTGTTCTTCAATTATGTGGTCTAATTTATCTGTATAAATTTTCATTTGAACTAGTGAATTGACTTTTACAATCAATTAGTAAAAAAGGCCTATCCATCACCTATTTAGACGATGATTTTTCTAAAGAGACGGTTGTCAGAAAGATCTTTTCCCTGCTTTTCGTAATAGAAGCTCCTGGGGAATGTATATCAAAACCCGATAAGTTCAAGTTTCATATATATATCGACATTTTTTTCTAGGTGTCTCGTCCTGTCGAAAATTCTACTGGATTTAGTCCATATAGGGACTAGACAAAATGATAAACCGTGACTAAGTAATACATCTAGTCAAGTCCTTTGGATCATGGGTTACAATCTGAAGACTTGGGTGATGAAGTTTTTTAAAACAACATTAAACAACACAGTGCGACAGTTTCACTAAGAATAATGAGTTCATGCGCTAAGCTACTATTTCGCAATCCCGAATTCACTTCGGTAAACGGGACTACTACTATTCTCTTCTACCCTACCCCGTTAACTAAAGTAAGCAGTCCAGTTTCGTAATAGAAGCTTTGTTGATGACGGCCACAGTAGAGTTAAAAATACGATTAAGTCGACCAGTTATATATTGATTACAATGACTAAATTTTACGAACTGAGTAATTAACAATAGCACTAATCATAGTGAAACTACATTAAAAGTCCATAAAATCACGAAAATGTTTTGAATGTTTACCTTAAACTTTCTGTAAATCGATACGAGTTTTCTTACTCAGAAGTTGTATCAAGGTATTCCACATCCCCAATAAAAATATTTAGATCTAAACCTTGACTACGTGTTGGTCAGTAGTAGGTAAAATCTCGTGTTGGTAATTTATCTCAGATTGATTCCAACCATTATATAATCCCTATACCATTTTTATGCTTAAAAAAGTAATCGTTGGACTGAGTCATGTTGGTAGATCCAAACCACTTTATTGAGGTCCGCGCCGCACCTACAATTAACGGTTTGAGATGTTTGACGACGCAGCTTTTTATTCACTGAATTGTTTTCATCTAGTTGTGCGTGAATGTTCTGGTAACTTGGGATAATGTGTGTTTAGTGGCCCGTGATCTGACTCCAATTTGATCGTAATGATTGGTTGCTATCGTCTATCCTCGTATATAATCATTGACTTAAATCGTGTTAGTTAATAACGGAATTAAATAAGTCAAATAACGAGAATGGAGTTTTGAATGCATATATTTTGTATAATTGTTGATTAGACAAACGAACGGGAGAACGACGCGAAAAGAAAGCGAAGCAAAATTGACGAGCGGTGGAGATGGCTGGTAAGCCAACTCCCATTTAACAAAGAGTTAATCAATATTTATAAGCACATCAAGATAAATTACAGACATGTGATGAGTAACGGGATAAGAAGTGTACATACGCCTACGCGCTCATATAAAGCAGTGAAGATATTGATAAGCGAATAATTAACAAAGTCAGAATGTGACTCAAATAGAATGAATAGAATGGGCTGTCCGTAAGTTATAATAAGGTATTTGGGCTTAACATAATGACAGACACTACATGTGTTTGTGCTGGCCCCTATGCTTATTATGACTGACTGTGTGGTCAGTTTGAGATAGATTCTAACTTTAGTATGAACGATGTTATGATTTAAATAACCACTACTACTATTTTTTGTCTTTATTGTAGGCAATCAAGAAAAATTAAAAGAATTAGTTCAAATGTCGTGGTCATTTATTAATGATAGTTTAGCAACAACACTATGTTTACAGTGGGAACCAGAAATAGTCGCATGCGCTGTTCTTTATCTAGCCACACGTATGAGTAAATTTACAATAGAAGATTGGGAAGGTCGTCAACCAGGTCAACGTTGGTGGGAATGTTTTGTTGAAGGTATGAGTACTGAAGTAAGTTCACTTGTCACTGATGTTATTACGTTTTTAGCAGTTTCAGTTTTGTGTACTTTTTACTCGGGTCACAAACTGACACCCACTGAAGAAAATGTGAAACTTAAAGGACCTTACACGATGAACCATTGGCTTATTGGTGATAGAACTTGGTTTCGATTAATTGACAGCAGGTTTAAAACTCACCAACTTTTTATGAGTCAGTTTAAACAGGCAAGTGATATTACTGGCTCTTGTACTAATAGTGTATCACAAAATCGAATACATAAAAATGTGCCTAATTAACAAATTACTCTAATTTAAGTCATATGACTGTTCTACAGTTTACACAGTGACGTTTAATATTGGGCTAGAAGTTTAAAGCCAATATAGTTTGCATAATGTTCACTATTATGGGAATCATCTGTATTAATTGTATTAAAATCAGCTTCCTATTCGTATAAGCCAATGGGTGGATTATTGTCTTTAGTGTAAATAATAATAAACGTAAAATCTTTTCAATAGAAAAATGAATATATCAACGCTTATGCGAATTTCATGCAATTAGTTTCCTTTATGAATTTAGATGTATACCCACTGAATATATTTTTGTCTAAGGATGACCAGATCCATATAGGAGGAAACGGTTTTTGGAGATACAATTTAAGTTAGACCATGTACCTCATGATAGTACTCGACAGTGAAATCTAATTTAAGTGTTCTTCTCTGGTTAAGTCTCATCAATTCTATATACACTGATGTCCCTACTAAGGCTAGAATCCCAGTAACCAGTCAGCCTTAATAAACATATGGGCCAGCACAGACTCACATTATCCCAAGTTAGTAGTACACATGAGCATAACTAGATAAAAATTCAGTGAATCAAAAGCAAGTTAAAATAATAGTTATATGAATACTCGTCAAACAGACTAAATATTAGGAATATATTTCTAAAAGAAGAGATGGAAAGAAGACATAAAGAAATACTGAAATCCAAGAGTCAGTAGATTTTTTTCATTGCGACCAATTTTGAGCTACCTCGACAAACGTCTTCAACCATTGATTGTAGATGTGACGCGGACCCCAATCAAGTGGTCTGCATTTACCAACATAACTCAGTCCAACGGTCAGCAACTTCATGGACTGATATTATTCTCGGTTTGACCTCTCGTAATTTTCTCCACAATTCTGTCTACTCCAGCTAACATCGCATTTTGGGATAGGTGGAAACTTAGGATATGTAACAATTGTTCAAGCCATCTCACTCGAAGAAGCTTCATGGACTGTAGTATCCAGTAGGAAAACACAAGGGTATCGTATGAAATTTAGAGAATATAAAGTATCATTGAACTCATTGAACCATCTAAGTTTAACTGAGATCGGTTAATGAATTCAATGAAGGTTAACAATCTCTGTAACCTTTTACTGATCCGTTCAAGAAAATTATTTTCCATGTAGTATTTAAATGGTATGTCCATCATTATATAAAATGGGATGTTATTTATCTATTTTATTTGAACACATAGATATTGGTACAAGGAGGCACCAAATACATATGCACCACACAAATCTCATTTGATTTGTGCGAATGCTACGATACTGCCTGGGTGCCCAAACCGAAGCAGGTGGCTTTCTTAGGGGCCACGCCCGCAGCCATCGACCTTAAGGTCTAATCCACAAGGCAGTGGAGCAACGTCAGGAGATTCAGTCCCAACAGTGGGTTCACATGCCATTTATTCCCTCAGGATACTGGAGACCATGTGCACCATTGGTTTCGAATCAGGGTTTTCCAACTCCCTTAGGTGAATCTTATGTATCCACCAACCCGGTTAAAGCACCGGACATTCGCTTTTCGTTCTCTTAATTTCATAAACAATAGTAATACCGCGAGAAGACAATGAGTAGGACTTCCATGGCAGTGGTTGTATACACGTGTCCATGTGAGAGCATTTCGAGAGGGAGAGCGGACTCTCCCCACTCTCGGCTGTACCAGGGCATTTGGGGGCGAAATTTTTTAACTAGTACATCACATTTGCCCCCAAAAATGTGATGTACTAGTTAAAAATCTCAACACTGTGATGTGACCCATTTCATGATGAAATTTTTTCCTAAAAATAAAAGAATAACATTTGACAATTGAAAGAACAATTCGTTTTTCCCAGATTATTTTCTTTGAATAACCTATTTAATTAATAATAAAATATTGTGGCTTTTTTTCTTCAAAATAATTACATATCTAGGTTATGGAAGATATATGTCATAAAATTTTAGACTTATACCCTGCTGATGGGAATACTGGTGATGAGCAAGTTGGAAGTAATATTAACACATCTACAACTAAAATAACAACGAATAATATTAATTGTAACAGTAACAGTAATGTAGCTACAGGTGAATTACCAATTCATCATGTAACACATTCAACATCATTTGATTCAAACAAATATCATGGAATAAATAGTAAAGCAGAGCCACCTGCTAAAAGGCAAACATTAATGCGTTCGTCAGGGAATGTTTATTCATCAACTGTACACACTGGTCCTTCTAGTGGTAGCAGTAATAATAATAATGTTACTTCATCGATGATGAATAACAATACTGCAGTAATGAAGCATGTTCCATATCCCTCGCATTATCGTCTACCAGTTGGTACAGTTGCTAACAATAATAAAACAACTGTCTATAAATGATATGGTGCTGAAATAAGTAAGTGATATATTATTGTTTTCTAAAAGAAAGCTTGATGGTATTCATAGATTCTCCACATGTAACTGTTACCGTAACACCTTACTTAATTAATCTCATAGGACTGCGACTCTGATCTGAAGGTCACGTACTTACGCCTGTTACCCCTCGTCGAGAAGCATAGGCTGCTAACCAGCACTCTCCATTCATCTTTATCCCGGGAAATCCTTTTCAGTCCTCTCTAGTCGCTATTCATTCTTTCCATGTCTGCTTCCTATTCCTGACATAGAGTGTTTTTTGACCTTCCTCTTTTCCGTTTCCATTCAGAATTCCAAGTTAGGGTTTGCCTCGTGACGCAATTTGATGATTTTTTCAATGTGTGTCCTATCCACTTCCAACGTTTTTTCCTAATTTCCTCTTTACCTGGGAATTGGTTTGTTCTCTCCCATAGTAGGCTGTTGGTGATGGTATCCGGCTAATGGAAATTAAGTATCTTGCGTAGATAATTATAAATACTTGCACCTTTCTGATGATGGTTGTAGTAGTTCTTCACATCTCAGCTGCATACAGTAGGACTGTCTTGACGTTTGTATTGAAGATCGCGACTTTGGTGTTGACTGACAGTTTTTTTGAGTTCCATATGTTCTTCAATTGTAAGAACGCCATCCTTGATTTACTAATCCTTACATTCACATCTGCATCAGATCCTCCTTGTTCATCGATGAGGCTTCCTAGGTACATGAAAGATTCCGCATCATCCAGAGCTTCTCCATCAAGTGTGATTGGGTTGATGTTCTCTGTGTTGTACGTGAGGGTTTTGCTGTTTCCTTTGTGTATGTTGAGGCCTATTGATGCAAAAGCTGCTGATACACTAGTTGTCTTCATCTGCATTTGTTGATGTGTATTGGATAGATAGGGCCAGGTCATCTGCGAAGTTCAAATCTTCTAATTGATTCTGAGCTGTCCATTTTATTCCGTGTTTTCCCTGAGATGTCGAGGTCTTCATAATCCAGTCAACCATCAGAAGAAAGAGAAAGGGAGAGAGTAAGCAGCTTTGTCTGACTGGTCCTCACTTGGAATGGGTCTGTCGGCTGTCCTCCATGTACGACTTTGCAGTGTAGTCCGTTTTATGAATTCCGTGTGGTGTTGACGATCTTCTCAAGTAGTAAAATGAATGAAAAATATACTTTAATGATTCAATTAATCCTTCATACATGTGTGAAGATGTAAGTAATAAAAAATATTTTCACAATAGTCAGTAACTCCTATTCATCTGCAGTAGCGAGACTTTATTATCAGTTCAGATGTCACAACTTTTTTTTTCATCCATCAGATATTGAGCAGTACGTGAATTCCAATACATTCATCTCGTCTTTTTTTTTACAAACGGTGGACAATCAGCGGAATATACCAATAATTGCAGTATTTTATTTTGAGATTTCCAGTATATCGCATCACTATAGGTTTAAAGGCTTTCATAATATCTTGTGAATGCACTTATGATTTATATTCATTTTCAGTTCAAATAAATCTAGAACAGGCAGTATTTACATCGTTTAAAAAATAGGTTTAAGCAGGCTACTAGATAATGTAAAACTAATAGAAATACTACATCATAATCAATTTTGAGTTACATCATCCAATATTTCATCATGAAGGCCTTAATCAGAAATCCTACTGCGAAGACGGTCCTCGGGTGAACTCGAGAAAGCTCTAAGATGCTCAGAAAGAGTTAAAAATATTCGATTCAATCATTTTTTGGAAGAATATTCCAGAATCCCTGTGTATATCTTCCCTAATGGCTAATAATCCCCTGTATGCGGATTGGAGGACTATAATGATGATTTCGGTTTTACTAAAAATTATAAATACCTGGCAGTTCTGTACCATAAATGACACTGTTTGGAATGGCATTCCTTTCACTTGTCTTCTGTCTTCTCATTTGCGACTTGGAGGGTTCTGGCATTCGAGTGCTCTAGTTGTACGCAATAATAATGAAGAACTGAGCTTCTAGATATAACACCTACTATTTTAAATTGTTATCATATTTCTTCATATTTGTCTATCTATGACATTTTCTATTTTGATTCTTATCAAAAACTCTTCATTCCTATTTCACAATAAACAAATACCTAAATTATATCAAATAAATAATCGGAAAATCCTATTGAATGTATAACATTGCTACAAAACATTAACATCATTGGATGCCGGCTCAATGGTTTAGTGGTTAAGCGCCAACATGCGAGACTGATAGGTCCTGGGTTCGGATCTTGCGAAGCGGGATCATGGAGGAGTTTCATACTAGGATGAGACGGTCGTCCAGTGCTTCCAGGTTTTCCATGATGGTTTAGCTTCAATTGATTCATGAGTTCAATCATTAAATGATTGATAAATTACATAAATAAAATGATTTTTTCTTTCATATTTTCAAAGTCAGTATTTATATTTTATTTTATTTTTTCCCCCCCCCCTCATAATTACAGGCTTTCATATACACAACAATAATTTATTATATAAATCAAATGGTGAAACTTACTTTATTTATTGTTTACGTTCAATGCCTGAAAAGTATTCGATCTAGATCAACTCTGGATCAACCATTTTTTTTTTTTTTTGAAAAATGTAACTATTGTATTCTAGCATTCATGTTTTTCTGTATATACAAATTCTATATCTAAATAAATATATATTTATATATCTGTGATGAAAAACTTCAGTTTCTTCTTGGAATTAACGTTTACTGTGTACCTGTTTTTGTTTTTTTTCTCTCTTTTTTTATTTAACTAACATCAAGAGTATTTTCATTGTATCACATTCTTCTCCATATGAATTCGGTTAAAAATAAAAACTATACTTTTCATTGATGAGTACAGTAATTAAATAAGAAAGATTAGTTCAGTGAAGAGTTTGGCAAATTCATTTTCAATGTTGTACAATCACAAATATACATATACTTATTTTTACAAGATGATAATAATACTGATAATAACTTTCTGTTAGGCATGTTGACAGTGAGGTTAAATAAACAAAGTTATTAAAAAAATTCTTTAAAAAAAAACAAGGAAAATTTAGAAATTGTTTGATTGTTAATGGTATAAATATTCATCAAAAGATAGATAAGGAATGTCCGGCGCTTTAACCGGATCCCAAACCAATGGTGCACATGGGCTAGCTCCAGTATCCTGAAGGAACAAATGGCGTATGAACCAATCGTTGGTCACCGGCTGGCTACCATGGGACTGCATCTCCTCACGATGCTCCACTGCCTTGTGGATCAGACGTTCAGGTCAAAGGCTCGGGGTGTGGCCCCCTAAGAAAACCACCTGCTTCGGCTTGGGCACCCGAGCAGTATCACAGCCCTCACACAAATCAATTGAGATCTGTGTGGCGCATATGTATTTGGTGCCTCCTTGTACCAATACCTGTGTTAAAATAAAAATAGTAATAATAGATAAGGAAACCGATAGCTCAGCATGATAAGATAAATGTTGAAATTGAGATTAAATGTAATGCGAATGATCGTGGAAACAAAATGAACCAGTTGGGGGTAGAAAATTTACGGGGAAGATGGAGGGTGAAGCAGATGGCTGTAAATGAAGAAGAGTATGAAAAAAGAGAGAAATTAAAAATAAAAAAAGTTGTAAGATATCAGGACCATGGTAGAAGAAGGGGTTGTACCAGTCGTTTTTGCACACACAATTCTGATTTATCCAGATGTATCGCTAATGCTTTGGCAATGTAAAGAAGATGCAGTCTAATTGTTTTTGGGAGACTTCTGCTTACCTTGTAGATGACTTTGAACGCACAGTCTGTCTTGATTGAGTGACTTGTGTTCACAAGGCGTTCGATTATTGAACTTCCTCCTCTTCTAAGTCACCCCGGGTAATGTTCTTGAATTCATTTGGATAAATTAGGCATAGAACAACCTATATACCTGGCTCCACATGAGCATGTAAAGTGGCAAATGCACATTGAGTTGGTCAGATGAGATAATTTATCCTTAAGATTATTGATGAACAATGATCGGCTGGAAAATATTTGCAATGTTGCTGCGGGGAATGCTCTTTTTAAAGAATCGGAAATTCTCTTTAGGGTATGTGTGTGTGACTCTGTCGCCCTTGAATTCGATGTTCATGTATAAAGTTTTCTTTTCTGTAGTTATCTGTGTTTTCGGCTTTATGTTCTTATCAATGAAAATCGAAGGAAATCCATTCTTAATAAGTATCTCCTTCAGGTGGCCCAATTCTTCCTCTATGACGTCGTGACTACAGATTCGTCGTATTCTTTTTGCGAGTGTTCTTATCATGTTTCGTTTTCGACTAATGGGGACCCAGCTGTGGAAACTTGATAGTTGGCCATTCCACATAGGTTTACTGTAAACAGAACTTCTTAGAGTACCATCTTTCTTTCTTGTTATTTCCACGTCAGGAAAGTGAATATTTTGTTTATTTTCAACTTCTAATGTGAATTTTATTGTTGGGTGGCAATTATTAAGTGTCTTCAGAAGATGACTCAAGTCATATTTGTTGTCACAAACGATAAAGATATCATCTACGTATCTTTTATACGAGTGAAGTTTGTCTATAGTCGCTTTCAGTTGATTGTTTTCTAAACTGGCCATGAAGCAATCTGTAAGTAATGGACCCAGAGGGGATCCCATTGCTATACCGTCCTTGAACGTAAACTGTACATTGCAAGTGCACCGCAGTAATAGTTCCTTCAAATAAACATCCGGTACTCCGATGTTAATATCATTGTTATTTACGTACTTACAGATGAAATTAATGGTCTCTGTGAGTGGGACATTAGTGAATAATGACTCGACATCCAGAGATAGCATAATTTTGTCATTTACATTAACTTCTTTTATGTGCTCAATAAATTCAAAAGCATTACGTATGGAGTGTTTATAAATGTGTTTTCTGACGGGTTATAAGAAATTTACGAGCCACTTTGCTATAGAGTGGTAAGGGGATCCTGACATATCGAGAACAGGTCTGAGAGGTAGGCCAGGTTTGTGTATTTTTGGCAGACCGTATAATCGCGGTATTATTGATCCTGTTGGTCTTATGCCCTCAAAGACATGTTCGTCAATTAACTGATCATTTTTTATTCTTTTAAGAACTTCAATCAGTTGTTTTTCTATGATTTCGGTCTTGTTTTTCTCGTTGATTTGTTTTGAGAATTTGGTGTCATCTGATAATAACGTCATTTTTTCAACATAATTATTGCGGTCTAGCAGCACTGAACCAGCGCCTTTATCTGGACGTGTTATAATCGACAGTAAAGGAACTTAATGAGTTCCTACGTTATTCTGTCAAACTTGCGGAAGTGAAGACGAAGATCACCTTTCTTAAGGATTGCGTTAACAAAACATGATTATTCCTTAGAAGATACTAATAATCGATAGTTGTTCTATCGTGTTTATTGAGTAGCTTAAATGTGATTAGATATTTTCAGTTTATTTGTTCGTGATACTTTTCATAGTTACTATCAATAGTGATCATGACTCCATTTGGATTTCATTTATTGGTTTGCCCATCGTTTTTACTCCCTTCCCCATATATCGGGTGATATATCTAAGTCATCCAAAAACCTACCCATTTGAACCGAATATAAAACTTATACGTAGCTACTTAGTTGTATTAAATGTATCAACATTTTTGTTAGATTGTGTTCCTTCATCTGCGTGGTTAAATTGTGAAGCCTTCATTGGCGTTCTGAGCTACATCGTCGGGAATTGTCTTATATAGAATTGAGCTACTTGACTATCCATTCATCATTGTGTCCCTGCTGACTGACTTACCTGTGTAAATTGATAAATCATATCCCCGTCGATATTTCTAAGTGATTTCAGATTAACTCCTAAGAATCCTCCAGGATCCTTATTTTTTCGAATTAGAATTTCTACATTTTCCCAGTCAAATTCTCCATAATTATCTACGCGTATTGATGCAATATGTTATATCTTCCCACTAATAGTTTGTGCTCATCTATACACAAATAATAGAGGAATCCACTTTAGTCAATATAATGCTTGCTACAACTGGTGTACTTTATTTAATGGATGATACTGCTATCTTCAGCATTACGTTTTGAATAAGGCGTAATGAGTAATTTCTTGCGATCTCAGTTATCCAAAGGTATGACATATTTTTTTTATAAAAAGAGGTATACTGTGGAACCTTTATTAGGCTCTCCTAATTAAAATAAGTTTACCGTTTAAAATGATACCAGATGAACGTGGCAGTGATAAATTGTAAATTTATAATTCTAAAAAGATTGCTGTGATTGTTAGTCTGTCAATCAATCATGGACATTTCTACAAACTGTTAATATTGACTTGAAATATTACCACCAAATCAAACTAAGAAGTATGCCTAATTCACTCAAGTGATGTACTTACGCAAGGGTATAAACAATGAACGAAGTTTTTGAGTCGTTAATATCTTTTTACAGTGAATAAACCAGTCACTAAGTTACAGTTCTGTTCAACAAGAATATACACACTAAATCATAAAAATATATATTATGCCACTCAGTAAAAAAGAAAAAAAGAAGGTAGGTAGTTGATGAAAATAACGTAATCGACGAATTGAAGTTATTACAATTCTATGCAGTAAAGTAATTTTTCAGAGAAAAGCAACAATATGTATTGTAGAACGTCGGATGAATAAACAAGTGGGAGAAGCAAATGTTAATTTAACTATTAAGAAAGATTTTTTTTCTCTTTGGCGTCTTTGTTCAAGTGTAATTGACTGATAGAGCTGAATATTTCGATCTTGAAACTTTCTATCTGGATAACAGGGGGATTAATTGTAATTATCACATTTTCATTCTTAAAGTTGTTCGTTCTACGTTTCGACTTTCTTCATGACAGTCCATATTTGTCCACTTTGAATTGGATGTCATTTTTCTCCTGATATCTTGTACAATGAAATCATAATCAGCGTCCAAAAGCAAGCTAGACTGAGCTATTCGGCCATAGCTTCGATTACTGAATTTATGAAAGGCAGCCTGTAAATAGATATTAGTAAAATAAACATGTGCTTAATCTTACCATGTGATCAGTTGGTTAAAACGTGTGAGCGGTAAAAATGAAGCGGCTCAATGAGTATACTCATAGTATATTAATTATTACATGATATTATCGTAATAAATACATGAAGTTGTACATAATAATAGTGTACTCAACTTTACTCCACACATTCTCATGTGACGGTTAATGATACACCTCTGCTCTTGGAACCGAATAATAGGCACAGATGGGTTTCAACCTGAGTATCATTGGACGAAAAGCTATCTTTTTAAGTACCAACCCATTTCAATGGTAGATATAACAGTGAAGATTACTGATTACATCCGAACAAACTATTCTTGCCGTTCAGGTTTGTATACTCTTTTTCTGTCTAAGCACATCTATAAATAAGTACTTTTACTTCACCATAGAGCCATATATTTGTTATGATCGTAGCTGAGAGAACAATAAAGATGTAACCTGTTATTTTCTTCACTGAAGTTTCAACATCACAATACGTCAGAAGTTTGGGACATTATAGATAATGTCATTTAACCCTAATATAGTAACTGTGCTCCGAAATTTGGATAATGAATTTCACTTCGTTTATCAGTCTTATAATGGTAATCCAATCAAGAAAAAGTATCCTCCAAACATAATTCGCAAGCTTTCCGGTGGTTCGAATCTACGTTATTCAGTTTGATCCACTGGTTAATCAGACTCTATCTTATTACTGAGTATGACTATAAGTTGTTCGCTAAATAACAAATAAAAACCAATTGCATGATAAGTGACGCATGTTCAACTCTTTGAAATAGCATGGGTTTCCATAGATTCCCAGTTATGAATGCTTGCAAGTGACAACAAGCCTGTGGGGTGATCATAGGGTCTTGACAATAGACTAAATACCTAAAGTCTAAAAATACTGATGATTGGTTTTGTAACGCTCTGAACACATTCCTTAATCTAGAGACTCGATACATCACATATCACCTAAGGATGATACTGGTTGACACTCAGTAATCAACCGATATACACCAATGTTTACCAAGCAGTTATTTGGTTATATACTGTTAACATGTATGCATAATAATCAGGACAAATCACTATCACCTTATTGCTATTTAGTTAACAAGTTATTGTTCATTCATTCTTCGTTTCCAACAGATAGTAACGAGTGAATAACGTAAATAATTGAGACAAGTAGTATTGTTGCACCTTTTTTCTAAAACTTAATACATACGATTTTGTAGCGACTTATATTTATTTAAGAATAACCCTTTAGGGCTAAACGTACCGATTTCGAAATTTCTGTTTTTGTTAAATTTTCTATTCGGATTTATTACTTACCTCGTAATTTCTGTTGTTTATGTTGGAGATTGGTAAAGTTCGTACAATATTTTGCACATATATAAGTACTATTGGCAATAAATTGGTAACATTCTCATGTCCCATACTTAGGCCAAGTACTTTTGGCCATGTTTCAAATGTTACTGATAAACCCAAGACGCCATTATTTTCAATCCGAATATCATCTGTTCCGCTTTTTCCACTTTCATACTTTAATCGTATAAGCTCACGTGCCAAGTAGACACCAGCTGCGCATTTTACACTAGCTAAAGTACCTGCAGTTGATAGTTCAGTTAAGTTCAATTCGAAAAGATAACGACAAACTAATTCTATCTATAAATTTTTAGGAGAGAAGCAGAGAATAATTTTCAATCACCAATTGCCTATTATTATTATTATTATTACTATTATTATTATTATTATTATTATTATTATTATTATTACTATTATTATTAGGCCAGAATATAAAAATGCTTATACTTCTAAACTAATCTAAGTGCAAGACATGGGTTTTGAAAATTTCAGTACAATTAGTAAACAGACTCATGTTAACATGTTCTATCACAAAAAGCACATTTTGCATTAGGCCTGCTCAAATTGTAGTAGAAGTGGAGTTTGAACAAGCAACTCAATGACTGATAACCTTGATGCATTAAATACTAAGCCGTTGTAATCTTCTTGTCGTACAAAGAATCATGTTTTCCTTTCTATGGAGACTGACTCGGATTCCTGAGGTATCCTTGGTCAAAAGACTAGTTCATTTTAGGGAGAATAATTATGTTGGTTGAAGTTGTAGCTAAGGATTTGTTATTATTAGAATCAAAATTTTGTTAATTTGTAAGTCACCAACTTTACGTATACTTGTTTGGAACTCTGTCTAACTTATCTGTTAGTTCGATGAAATTCCAGTATTTATGTTATCTCATTTATCCAACAACTAAACATGACAATCCTTAGTTGAATAGACTGTTAGGTATAACTCGGTGTTTTCTTGTCACTTGTTTAGTTCCGCGTCAATAATTTACAGCTCTCAGTAGAAGCGAAATGTAACGAGTCTCTTTTAACCATTTAACCATTTCACTTAGTTTTATTTAATTATAATTGGATCTCGAAAAACTATCATGTTCGGTACAAGATACGTAGGTAACGTTGAAGCGTATGAGGTTTAAGGTTACATGTAGATGGAGAGTTTTAAACGTAGATGACTCGATCATTATATACTCCTCAAACTTTAATATTTCTCCATCATAGAATTAATCACCAAAATCAAATAAAATTCTGAGAATATAGATCTTGGAAGAGCTGAAGATTGAAATACAAAACTTTCATATCTAAATATCTATCCAAAAGATTTTAAATTTCTGATCAAATCGAGCGATTTAATTGGCTTAAAATCTTCAACATCAAGCTTCTTTTTGTCACATCAGTCAGATAGTCATATGCAACATGAAACCTGGTTCATATATTCTTTGGTTCTAGTTGCCACACTACATTAGCATTGTGATGAAAAATTGTGAAGACAAACCCCGGAGTAGAAGAAGTAGTGGCAGTTTCAGCAGTAGTACAAAAAATGGGTACAGGGGAAAGTAAAAAGTGATTTAGAGACTTTGGAAGTACACAGAATGAGTGTCTTTGCACCATTGCAGAAGACTTTAATCCATGTCACCCAAGGTCTACAGCCGTTGATCATGATAATCCCGTGGAACCGAACCAGATATTCCCCATCTGTTTATCGAGGACTTTCGTGAACTGCTTCCTCGTCTTGTTTAGACCTCCATAGCTCTGTTCCAGCTTACTGCTCTTATTATATTAGCATCTGCACTCATGTGTCAACCAAATTGCTAAATCACTCAAACGAGCTTACAAAACTGTATCAGTTGAGTAAATTCAGTCACAACTGATTGGTTGTGGTCCCTTATGCCAGCAACGGGAAAATACAAACCCTTACAAGTAACCTTATACCCGTTGAACAAGCGGGTGCTTATTCGGACATCGAAAGTGAGAGGTTCCCAGCCTTAATATGGACATAAACACTAGGATCCAGATACGTCAAGCTGACAAGCATCAGAGGATGAAACACGCATCTTGAATTTCCCTGCTAGACGTAATCTAACCAAATGCCAGAATCGACGAAATCTGCTCAATATTAACTTATGTCAAGATAAGCTGTTTTATTCCAGTACTAACCCTTCCAAAAAGATTCTCTACAGTATCTGGACAAAGGTTATCTTACTACATCTTAATTACCATCCCTATTATTATTTAAAAAACCCAGTGAGAAACAAGAAGGACTGGACATCCATTTCGTCCTAGTACGGAACTCATCAGCAGTGCGCATTTACGTTCTCACAGCAAGGGGTCCGTACCCAAGACCTTCGGTTTTGCGCACGTACACTTAGTATCTAGAGCATGAGGCCGGCGTAAAATCGTATACATGTCTAACTTCTACCAATGCATAATATCGTTCAATCACCTTCCAATGTATTGAATGTGCAGCTATTTTGCACTCAGCATTGTTGAAATCCGCTGGTTACGGCTTCTCACTAGAACTCCGGAATTATCTATTGAAATTAGACGCTAGCGAATACACGAATATTTATTATAGGGAGTTTATAGCATTCTTTTACTTTTGTATTCAGTATCATGGAACAATCATAGTTAACTTATCGTACGCAAAAATAACTTGATAAAGATACAGAATGTAATTAAATTTTTATTCCTATATTTAAAATAAATCTTACTTTTGCCTTGCCAGTTAGAGTTAGATCATTACAAGCTGCAAATGCTCGATCTAAAAAGTGATGTGGCAAGGGTATATTGATATCAAAATCCAATGCTTCTAACATTTTAAATTCGAAATCTAGCACCTGTGTAAGTAAAAAAACACAAAGTAAAGTAGAATGGTCAAACTAGATTCATTGTTTACATCTCGTACTGACTTTGGCTTAAGAGCTATTGAAAACCTGGAAGGGCCAGGCAAGTCGTTCACTCTATTATGGCGTTATATACGTGAAGAATTTCAGACTAGGATGCCGGGAAAAATGTCTGAAATATGTTCCACTTCTGCTGTTTCAATTTTGATGATCATTTGTTATTCTGTGGTTTGTATTGAATGTTATAACACCAGATTCAGAAGCAGTCATGGAAGAGCTTAGATGAGAATCAGTTCCACCTACTAGGCATCGTGGAAACAGTTTCTAACGTAAGTAATGACCAAGTGATATTGCACTGATGAATACTGTTTCTGTGAGCTTTTTACAACTAATCCTTTGTGGACTACTATCATAAGTCTCAACTTTTGTGCAGTGACTGAAAAACCTGCTAGCCTAAACATGCAAATAAAATAAGAATGAACGTTACCTCCGTAAATTGTTTAAAATTTATTGATCTAACTGGAGTGATTAGTTGGATGAATCGTAATGTTGATAAGGTAGATTGTAATCTAGGTGATAAGTCATTCGACTACAATTGGTGATGTCTGAGAAGCTGGTTGGAACACAATAATCGGTAAGGTAATTGGACACAGTTTTCAGCACTTTACAGTTAGTTATTACAAACTATCGCAACTAAATGTAATACAAAATCTCTGAATCACATTAATACACTCATTTTGAACTACATTTAAACGTCCTTGCAGAGATGAAAGTGATCACATGTTAGTAGGGTAGATTCTGTTGATTGAAGAAAAAATCTCATGTAAACTATCTAAATGAAAGTGTTATGTTACCACTTTGTTGGTAACACTGCAAATTTGATATTCTAAAAACAACCCATCAAACATCAGTAGTCATACAGCATTAATACTAATAATTACGTAAACACATAGACTATTTGATTCTTATGTATTCAGTTCGTCATAAGTTAGATATATGCTTTGTAATATGTCGCAAGTACATTAACACAATTGATTAGATGCTTTATCTACACTTAACACTGATAATGGATCAGAAATTTTATGTATATAAATAGTTATATGCATACTGATGAAAAACTGACAGATGGAATCAACCATTATATAACTGAAAGTAGAATAAATATGATTATTCAGATTACATATTAGTTTTTGCAATAATACATCATAAAGATCGAAAGCTTCGAGTTGATTTCCACTGTGCTGAGGTCTCAAAACCTAGCTCTATCTTCACCCGTTTGATAACCAGATAGGATCAATAACATTTATTCTATGTATAAGGATTAAACCTGAGTACACAAATCGTCACTTGTTGGGTAAGCTGTATGATGATCGATATTATTATATATCAAATAAGTTATAGAATACTTTATTCAAGTTAATTTAGTAATTACCTGTTTAGAATTATACGAATCTTCAGTTCAATAACACCACATTTTAGATGCTGGATGGAAGCGTTCAACGAATTTTACAGCAACAAATATTGCTGTAAAACCAAGTAGCTGGTTTTCTGACGGATATAAAGTAATTTGACTCCAGGTAAACTGACCAACTAAACTGACAGCTAAATGCAATGATTCTGTGCGCAACTTTAAATACTGTTGTACCTAGAATTAAAAAAAAAAAGATAATGTATATGGAGATTTAAAGCATAAGTGATTAACTGGACAGGTAACAATTCTATCTCTTTTGTTTCATAGTACTGTTTAGATGTAAGTAATCAAACTAACTTTGTGATCATTTAGCTAAGTGACTTAAACTGGAAGCATACTGTATTGCAATTCGAATGACTTGAATCCATTACCATTAAGATGTATTCTGAATAGAAATATCTGGTATTCTTTGTTTGGATGTATTTTTTTTATTAATTTAAACATGTTAATGGAAAATCTTGGCGGCCTGCTTGAATATCTGGGCTACCTGTTTCTGCCATCTAGTTATTTCAACAAGTTATCTGTTTTTTCATTTTGTTTAAACCTCTCATTATGTCCATTAATCGCATAACCTATACAGGCGCGTTTATGAAAAGCCTACGACCTTTCGCTGCACAAGTTACAAAAACCTACAATAAAAGACATCGTGGTGGTTGGCAATATGCGTTGAAGAGAATGAACATTAATCGTATGTCGATTCCCGAATTGCTCAATTCTAACTGCCGATCATTAATTAACAAGATAGACTATCTTCAATCCCTACTAAGTCAAAATATGTATCGTAATTGTGGTGTCATCACAATTCAAGAATCTTGGTTAAACGATTTACAGGACGACTGGCTAGTATCCCTACATGATTTCAAAATTTATCGTCAGGATCGATCAAACGATAAAAAGAGGTGTGGCGGCGGTGTAGCTACTTTTGTAAACGTGAACTGGTGTCGATCTACGTTTGTATTTTTTTGTGCTGAGAATTCTATATTGTACCAAAATATAATATTGAATAAAGCCATAAAGAAAATCAAATCAAAATCAACTAACCTCATAGGTTGAGGGCAGAAAACTATGTGTTCAATAATCTGAGTAATCTGTTTCTATGCTATTAACTTAATTCGATTTAATCATTTTCTACCCAATATGAATTCAATGCAGTTCTATGTTATTATTTTTTGTTAACTTATTGATGGTCATGCTACTTATGATGACAAATATCAGTAAACATCGTGTTGATGAAGCTTCTGTAATACATTAATGGTGTTAATAAAACCTAAAAAATACAAGTTCTGTTCTAGACATTATTGTTATTCAGAGAAAGATTTTAGACGGGAATAATATTTAAAATACTAAAAAAATATTTTATGTTACTTTGATCCCAAACTGATATGAATTGAAAAACTACAAAAAACTAGGGAGATTTGACGGCTGTTTCATCATAGTTTAGGATCTAAGAACCCTATTCACAGGATAGTATAGAACCATCAGCTCATGTAGGGACCACAATACTGTTCAACCTTTGACTTACAATAAAACTCATCACATTTTCAAATCCAGTTATTTTGAATAATAGCACAATTCTGATTTTAAATTGTTTCCCAACTAGTGCTAACTCTGAATATAAATAATCCCTTGACTAGATGAGATCTCTAAAAACCAACTTCATCTTATTAATGGTTAAACTCACTCTTATCATCCAATCGCAAAGAGTTGCTCTTACAGTTTCTGTCAAACCATGTCGTTCCAAGGAATTCGCCTGATAATACGAAGCCGCTTTCAAATCTTGGATGAATAAGTAACGAAAAATCTGTGTGTCGGGTGAATAGCCATGAATAAAATGAGAAAAATAGTAATTATTTACCAAATATGGATCAATATAAAAGATAAAACACATAGTCCGTTGTTCATTATTCAAAATACAGTTTTATATGTACTATGTTAACGCTGGACACGCAATTACACACTGTGATACATGCATAAATAGCTTTTCTATCAAACAGCTTAGTATAAATTCATTTGCATTGATTGTTTGACTCTTTCGACTGATGTTTAAGACTATAATTAACCAGTATCTCTCTATATGTGTGCATCCTGTGACTTGATGGCGAACAGGATGCTCATATCCCAAAGGAGACTGATCATTTGCAGTCCTAAGAATCAGTGAGATGGTTCAAATAACCAATACAAATAAATGAAAATTCAACCTTATCACAAACCCCGGTATCTATTTGGGCTCAGTAGCCAAGTTGACAACTCGGTGGCGTTTGGAGCGAAAGGTACTGGGTTCAAGTTCCCGGGTGAACATCAACTCCGGGATATGGGCGCATCCAGCTGACGAGTCCTGAATAAGACAAGACATGAATCCTTCATCTCACTTCTAGTCATCATTCAACTCTGTTTATCAGGTTGATATAAGTTTAATTACATATTGGTTACATACAATTTGCTCTATAAAAGATTTATCATCTTCAAAGAAATTGATTGGATCTGGAGTGATCCCAGGTTCTTCAAATGTCTTACAATTATCAAAGAAATAGTTAAGTCGTGTTATTGAAGTCACTCTACTGAACTATTATTTCCATTTATAATTCAATCTTTTTGATAAACGTTAGAAAGATGTGTATGTAACACAAAGACTGATGTCACATGAGAAATTCATTATCACAGATTCGATTAATACCATCAAGCTAAACAAACCATATAGTTTAACCAGAATTCCTGAACTTAAAACTGTGTAGAATTTATTGTACTATCCTTATCTCAGATCACTTGTCCCTACAGTATAGTGAATATTATTTAGGCAAAATGTGTCTAAAGCTACTACTTGCTGCTTGTCAACAAATAGTGTTCCTGTCAAATAATTGAAAAATAGTAACCTTCATTGTGATGGTTTTTTTTGCTCAATGGGATTTCAATCGGAAGTTGAAATTCGTACATTAACATCGATCATACTTGACTTTTGATGGTAGCCGGAGCGTGTATCCGATTACATTATAACTCATTTAAGACACCAAAATATCAGATAAACAGTTAAACAGGTACTTCTTTCGAGAGTGAATCACCATAGAGTTAATAGTGTTAAACTACTATCTTCATGGTCTTTGATAACTTAAACAATGAAAAGATCATTTAATTAACTCAAACTATTAATTACACTTAAATTATATCACTTGATCCATATATATTCATGTTTATTACAGAATACTTTCTTACTGAACCTCAAAGATACATTTACTTTAAATCTTAAAACAAAGACTAACTTACACGTTCATGGTTTAAGTGAAATTCTCCCAAATGTTGTTCATCGGCTACAGATCGTGGCAGTGAAATCACTGAACGATGACTATAGTATGATTTAACTTTCTCGTTAGAACTATTATTATTATTATCACGATAGCATTCAGAAAGAATTTCATTTGCTGTTATTTCATTGTTAATCTCTTTTTCAAAAATTATTGGTAATTCATCAAAGAATAGTGCTGTCATCATTTTGGTGCTTTCTAAAACAGACCATTTATTTAATCTTCTATTCTTATTACATATGTACAAATCACTTTCCTGACTAGTACTTATTCCTACAAATTGATCATCAACGATTTGATCATATGATTGACATTGAAAAACACATTCTTCACTTTTAATTTGAATTTGATCCCATTCTGTTATCTTATGTATATTATCATTTAGAGTAAGCTTTCGAAAATGTATTAATCCTACTACTGAATCATCTATAGACTTGGATTTTTCTAAAGAATAATGTAAAAAAAAAAAGAAGAATAAGTGCGATCCATAACACACAAATAGTATTTATTACAGAATAATATCTATTAAAAAAAGTATTTGTATTCAAGCTACACTAATCATGATACACAACAATGGAACAACCATTCAGTGCTCTCTGGTATTCACTGATGACCTAGATAATATCAGTTTGTAATGTAAATCTTACGATTGATTTTATATCGCATAAATCAAAAACAGGATCCTTCATCAATGATCTAATTTCAATATCTTGTAAGATACATACTGATGGTGCGGTTGAGTAAAAATAAGATCACATATCATTTGTGACTTGTTACAAAATAAATTTCATTAGCTTATTTTTTTTTTTTTGTTTTGTTAGAACGACTGATCTTTAGGCTGAGATTGAGTTGACAACAATTAGGTATATTCACCGACAATAGTTGTGCCATAAGATTGACTAAAATCACGATACCCTGATAAATGAATGACCAAAAAAAAAAAAAAACAAAAAAAAAACAACACAATTATTACAGAATTTGAAATTTTCACAATTGAGTCTGACTGGTCGATTACTATTCAGTCCTAAGATAACTTATTTCTGATATTATCTATTTCTAAGGGGCTGTCATTCAGTTTGTGTTATGCACTGATATAAATCATCTCCAAAAACCTAGAATAACATGACATAAATTTCCAAAGAACAAAAAATTATGTTAAAAGTAATAAATGAATAAAGAATTTCTCAAAAAAAAAAAAAACAATTTATTACTTGAATTTAATTTCTTTGTTTGTTCAACATGATTATTTTTGTTAGACTTTCTCAACTCCATTAAACCACGTGTTCTAATTGATTTAAAAGCACCAGTAGTACTACTACTACTACAGACAGTATTGCGTCTTAAACCAACATTCATATTCTCTTTGCCAACATTATTTGAATTCAAACAATTTTGATTATTTTTATTATATTGTTCATTTTCTTTATTGGATTGTACACTATGATGACGACCAATTGTAAGTCGATTTTTTGATCCAGTTAATAAAGTTAATCGGCCATTAACTTTTCTGTTAGATGACATGGTTTCTGTGTCGGTGGATGATAATCCATCACGCTTTTTCTTAGGCTTTGAGAAGCAAACATTTAAAACACAAAGTGATAGATTATTATTATTATTATTATTATAAGCTTTATTCAACATTATATTTGTGCTACACTATTGAATTCTCAGCATAAAGTATTTCAACAAGTTTCTTTTTCTTATATCTTGATCGATCCTGACGATAAATATTGAGTAATGGCCAGTTAGATGTTAGGAGTTCGATAATCGACATCTGAATAATGTTCATTCGTTTCAATGCATATTGCAAGCCACCATGATGTCTCTGGTTGTACCTTTTTGTAATCCGTACAGCGAAAGGTTGTAAACTTTTCGTAAACGTGCCTGAATAGGTTGTGAGCTCAATAGACATAATAGTGTGTTAAAACAAACAAGAAAACAGATAACTTGACGAAATATCTAGATGGGAGGAACAGGTAGCCCAGATATTTAAGCAGGCCGCCGTTAAATAATGTAGACGTATAATTGTGAGTCAACAGAAAATATTGATTATAAATGTTCTTATTATCAAGCTTGTTAACCTGATCAGTAAACAATAGCTTATGTACAAAAAGAATTTGTAATTCATCTTCAAAAATGTAATCTATTCAACGGGAAACTTAAAGAACTTTTTCTAAGAACATGATGGTTTGCAATCAGTAATTTATCGTACTAGTGACGTTAAACAGATGTTCGTCTGTTCGTTAACATGCAACCTTATAGTATAGCCATTTCTTACCTCTGAATGTAAATACAGTCCTTTTAGTTTTAGAAGTTAGACATTAACACTGTTGGATACTGGCTCAGTGGTCTAGTGGTTAAGCGCTTGCACGCTAGACTGGTAGGTCCTGGGTTGGAATCTCGCGAGGCGAGATCACGGATGCGCACTGCTGATCGATACGGTTGACAATTTACCTCCAAATTTAGTTCTGACATGAATGAGAGAAGACTTACCTTATGCTTTATCCAACTAGTGAGAAAAATATTTAGAGCAAAAATTGTTGTTTTATATTTTACTATATGATGAATAAACCATACGAGAATGAACTACCAGTTACAAAGTTTTTATTAACAAGCCCAATGTTTGAGTATTTTTAAATCACTCAAAGAAGCTATTGTTTATGACTATTTAACACCATGAGTTGTGGTTGCTGATATGAATAAGTTGAATTCTATAAACGCCAATCTGAAAGTTTTATTGGACAGATTACTTTTCGATCAATAGTGAGTAACTATATCACTTTTCTGTTTTAAAAATTGTTTTATCCAGACGAGAATTATGAATGGTAACTTTTGGGAACTACTTATAGACCAATACGATACATATATTTTTATTGTATAATTATTAAATAGCTAAAATATGCATATTCATGTTCCTCTTATGAAAAGCTTTATTGTGACACATAAACTATCATTATACGATTTAATGTTTTTTTCAGTTATACCCAGCCTACTAATTACAGTCTCCCACATTCACAGCCACTTTTAATTAGATCTTGTAAAAATGTTATGTTTTACACAATGTGATCTGTTTGGTTTTGTATGTAAACTGAATATGCTTAAAATACATGATTCATATCACGTAATTTGAGATTGGTGTTCCGAAGTTAACAGGTAGTGTCCTATAAAGACTCTAGATTGTTCATAAGGGTTTTGTGCGTTATTGGTCCGGCCGATAAATCACTGTTCTCTAATTGTCAGTATTCCTTACGTTATCTATAATAATAGGGCACAATACTACAAGTTATAACCAAAAATACATTATAAAACATTTATCCAGTTTATATTAAATAAGTTGTGAATACAATTTCAGCTTAGTTAGACAAAACGATATATATTGCCTATTAAAATAGAACAATCCGAGCAAGACGTATAAATGATCAACTCGAAACAAAAATAACCAGTATTAGGATTATTTATTTATTTATTTATTATTTATTTTAACACATAAATATCGGTACAAGAAGGCACCAAATACATATGCGCCACACAGATCTCATTTGATATGTGTGAGGGCTGTGATACTGCTCGGGTGCCCAAACCGAAGCAGGTGGTTTTCTTAGGGGGCCACACCCCGAGCCTTCGACCTGAAGATCTGATCCACAAGGCAGTGGAGCATCGTGAGGAGATGCAGTCCCATGGTAGCCAGCCGGTGACCAACGATTGGTTCATACGCCATTTGTTCCTTCAGGATACTGGGGCCCACGTGCACCATTGATTTGGGATCCGGTTAAAGCGCCGGACATTCGCTTTTCGTCCTCTCATTTTTGTAAACAACACCCCCGCCACGTGAAGGCAGTGAGTAGGACTTCCCTGGCAGGGGCTGTATACGCGTGGCCATGTGAGAGCATTTCGAGAGGGGAAGCGGACTCCCCCCACTCTCGGCCGTACCAGGGCATTTGGGAGCTCGTACCAGGGCATTTGGGGATCAATTTAAAATTTACTCAAAAAAATTTGTAGATTCAAATACATGGTACCTAACTATACGATTCGTTACAAAGTATATTAGACAATATAACCATGATCTTACATGACAGATAAATGTAGAAAAACATTTTTTTTCTTTCAAATCTAAAATCATTGATAGATTTTGTATGTATCCATTTGAAAATTTAAATTAAAAAAAAATAAATACAAGTTGACAAAGGAATATTTAGTATGTGTACACTTTAAATGCTTCTTAAATTAACATAGATAAATAAATGGTAGTGATAAATCTAACGAATGTCTTAGAAAAACCAATCATCTTTAAAGTAGATAAATTTTATTCAAGGGAAAAAGTATTGAATTATCTTAGTCAACTAAGCTTAGATAGTTTTTTTCTTATAAAGTATCCTCTTTAACAGATACTAAACATTTTAATTATAATCAGAAGGGGTTGTTTTTTTTTGGATGGATATTATTACTGAACGGTCGTTTCATCCTGTTGTGAGTCTCCTCAGTAGTGCCTCGCAAAATTCGAAATCAGGATCTATCCAGTTTGCGCATAAGCGCTTAGTCTCTAGACCAATCAGTCGGTCGACATACAACGGTGTTAATGTATAACTTCAACTAATCTACGTGGATGCGCACTGCTATGGTGACCCATAACAAGATGAAATGACCGTTCAGTAATCTCACGTTTTCCACGATGATCTAGCTTCAATTGATTATTATTTCTTTTACTATTTTATTTAAAACATATCCAACAAGATCAATTTAATACAAGCAAATCTTTCTATGAACCCTTAAGATTATTGGTAGAATACTGAAAATTTTGAGCTTAATTAAAATTCATCAAAAAGGAAACTGAATTTCGGTACAAATTTCAAGGATTTGATATCATTACGTATTATACTTAGAGTTTCGTATTTTGAATCATATTCCCCTGATTATTTGGCTTCCTTAGTATGAGAACACAGTCATTCTATTACTAAAATAAAAAGGGAGGTACTGGGAGGAATCATTAATTTATCATCCCTATAGAACGCACGTTTCGTGACTTCATTGATCAAACAAACAAAAGAAACTAGTTGGCGTGTATTACTTGAAGAATAGAAGTTTTTAGAGAAGATCACTGCTACAATGAATGATATTACACTCTAATTCATACTGTTTGTATAATTCTATACATCAGCGAGTAAAGTATTAACACTGGTAAAGGCCGAACGTAATTCGAAGGCCATTCCATCCTAGTTTGAAACTTTCTAATAATAGACACAGATGATCTGACATGATATTGAGCAGGAGAAATGAATTTCAATCGCACAAGTTATGAGACAATTAATTTTTCACTTTTTTAAATCATCCTCAGGTACTACAATTTAACTTCCGTTAAAAGGTTTGACTTACGGATCAAGGTTTTAAAATGACAGTATAGAGAATTAGAAGTAATTACAACAGATGTTGATCGTCAGGATACTCGTTTTCTCACCTAGCACTTAAACTCATATTGTTGGTGTTAAATATCATACGACTGTTTATTGTTTTATCTAAATAATCGAAATTAACTGATTGATCAGCTTTCTAGTGTATTTATTTCAATGATATTTCCGATCAGTGCAGAGTGTTGTCTTTCTATGTCCCCCTTACCTGAATGTAATAGGAAATACTAAGAGTGGTATTATTATTTGTAATCGGTAGGTATGAATTTATGTATTTTATTTGGTGCATGTATATTCAGATACCATTATCATTGATTGTCAAACAGCATCGTGTACATGTCAATAAATAAATTTTTAATCCCTGATAGATACGCCATAAATAAAACAGACAATATTCGTTGATTGTTAGTCTCAAAACTGTTCATCATAAAGAGATTAGTTGTTCTAACATTTTACTATCAAATATTTAGTCACAGGATCCAGTTCTTTATTACTTACACTGATTGAAGCAATGAGTTACTCATGTTAGTCTTGAAAAAAATTAGATAACTTTATAATAGTTTAACATATGAACAGTCTATAATGAAAATGAAAAGTATAAGGCAGGTTTCAAAGTCAATGCATTTTTAATATGAATTAGAAAAAGTTTAGAAAGATTAGTTTAATACCGAATTATAAATATTAATGAATCAGCAAACAGTTAGTCCAAACAAAGACTATCCTAGAGCGTTTAAACATAGATTACTTACAATTTCCCCAAAACTTCTTACAAAACGTCTACGATCTGTTGAAGAAGAAGACGATGATGATGATGATGATGATGATGATGATGATGACAACGTTGATGATGATGATGATGATGATGGTGTTCTCTTGTCAATATATTTTAATCCATAAGATGACTTTTGTAAAGTCTTTTTAAAAGTGAATTTATGTGTAACTATTGTTGGTGATCTATGTTTAAAACAATGTATCTCACAGAATTTTAAATGCTTTAAACAAATTGACATTATTTATAAGTGCAGCCAACAACAACAACAACAACAACAAAATTAGAAGGAACGATAGTAGGTGTGATGTAAAATTTGTCACATTTGCAAATCATAAAGAAGAGACATGGATCATTTTTAAAATTTCTTTTTAATCTATTAAATAAGCTAAGTTTCGCTTGCTAAAATGACAACTATAAAAGGTGCACATATACCTATCAATTCCTTTCCTATACCATATTTTTTTCTCTGTATGAACATTATGTACATGTGTAGTTTAGTTTCGTATAAATTAAACGAGTAATTTCATATCTCTATGATTCATAATTAGAACAAGCATCATTGAATAGATCTCATAAGTGCACGTAACTATTCAATAGAATAATCAGACAATCGGTTAGTTTACCTTAGCAAGTGCATTCTATTGATCTACACATGTAAAAATCAATTCAGTATTATTATTATTACTATTATTGTTATTATTATTATTATTATTATTATTATTATTATTATTAAAACTTACTGATAGATGTCAGTCCTTTGTATTCTACTGATTTATATAACCTATATGTTATTTGATTTCAACTGAGATTATATCTCTGCCTAATTACACAGGTAGGTGATCTATCACGCAAATCATGGTTGATTTTTTCACTTCCAGTTTAGTTAGTGATGTTGATAGAGATATACAACTATTCAGTGGATAATAGAATTAAGCATCATTAGCTGTTTATCGTCAAATTAAAGGTAAAGTGATACTGATAAGCTTTTTGTTAAAGAATCTTTAGATCAATTGATAAATTAGCTAACCTGCATATTGATTATTTTGATTCATTGAAAATCTTTATTCATGGATATTCATTTTAATGTAAATCGTAACGGAATCAGATCTTGTACACTATTTTTTTTTTTTGTATGAAAATGTCTAGGCACATTTGTTACTGGGATAAGAACCAAACTTAACTTTATATTCTTCATTATTATAGAATTTTTAGGCAGTATCCTCTGATGTTGCATTAATATTGATATAACAGTGTGAGATTTAAGAAAAAATTCTTTTTAAAATAATGACTATTCATTGAGACATTTAATTAATAGATATACAAATGTACAAAAATGTAAACTGGCAAAAAGTTGTATAACAATTACACAATAATCCACTGACTCCATATCTGGCATAATACGTACTTTTTGTTTAAAGTAATTTCTAGTTTCAAGTGAATATTGTGAATAACGTCAACTTTGAAAACTGATAAATTTTGGAAGATTTCAACAGAAATATAATGAAGTCTAATACAGAACCTTTGTCAATGAGATATTAGAATTATAGTGTCAGTTATGATGTTAAGCCCATATGCCTCAATTACCAACTAGGTTCTCAGTGCTGACTGTTAAGACATAATGACTAAATTGTTGATTATGGAATATTAATTACAGTTTTTAAATGAAATAGCTTCATCTTAATTTATTCACTATGATAGATCTATCTCTTATAAGTTAACTAATAACAAGCATTTTCAACTTCATTACAAATTAAGAAGTGATAAATGTTAGTTTGTTAAAACTTTTTTTCAAAAATTCCATTGATATTTAATACATAGCGTATATATAACTTAGGGATTTGAGTCAAAGTCAATTATAGTGGTCTAGGCTTCTTCAATGAACTCATGAATTCAACTATATATATATATACATACATAGTGATAGAAAGCTTTACATTGTCCTAGATTTTATTGATTTTTCTTATATAGTTCACAAGTTAACTTATGTAACATTACCAATTACAATAGAATATATTGAAATTGTCAATTACTTTGATTGTGAAATGAGTTCTATTCATAAACATATTAAGTGATCAATAATTGCTAAATGATTACCAATTAGGTTATTAGTGCTGACAGTTAAGACATAATGTTACACAGTGGTCTGATATGCTCATTTACATCAACAGAAATCGATGAAATACGAATATAAGTAAAATTTATCTTCACAATAGCTTTTTGATAAGCAAACCTTTATCTCCTATATATATATATATATATATATATATATATATATATATATATATATATATATATATATATATATATATATTTGAACATATAAATATTGGTACATAGAGACATCCAATACATATATGCCACATAATTCACTTGATTTGTGTTTAAGTTATGTTACTGCACGGATGCTCAGGCAGAGCCAGGTGGTTTTCTTAGGAGGCCATACCTTGAGCCATCGACCTAACGGTCCAGTCCGCAAGGCAATGGAGCAACGTAGAGATGCAGTCTCATTGTAGCGAGTGACCAACGATAGATTTGATACGTCATTTCATTCCTAAGGATCCTTGAGCCCATGTAAATCATTAGTTTGGAATCAGCGTTTTCCGATTCTCCTAGACGGATCCTCCATATTCACCTACCCAGGTAACGCGTCAGACATTCGCTTTTCGTCCTCTCAACTTTGCAAACAATACCCCTGCCATGAGAAGGCAGTGAGCAGGAATTTACTGGCAGTGGTTGTATGCACGTGACCATGTGAGTGCATTTTCAGAGGGAGAGCCAACTCTTCACACTCTCGGTCGTACCAGGCATTGGGAAAAAAATGATGCAGAATGCAAACCCAATGCGAATTCTATACGATATATACTTTATTCAATATGATTTACTTCGAAATCATGACGCTCAGGGTATTTCAATTAATGGGAACACTTACGTCGTTCAAGTTACCTAGAATATCACAAACTCATTCACATGATAATATCATTTTGTTGACATTTAGGAGAGTACGCAGTGAAAAATTGTAAAAACTATAAGAACTCATTGATGAAATTATTTATACATTATAAGAGATAAACATATTCTGACTAGTAGAATAAATGAGTTGCTTTGGAGTAATTAAAACTGTTGGAGTCTAAATGTTATCACATTTTCAGTTATATATACATAGTTCGAACTTGTTTATGCTCATCATTGAGTGCTAGTCGTAAACCTTTCACAATCAGTTTTAAAATCACTCAATTTGAAAAGTGAAGTATACTTTCCAGCCTAAAACCTGTTATGTTTCATATGCATAGTCATCGTAAGGTGGATATTGTGATCTAATAATATCAAGCTACTGTTGGAAACGTCTGATGAAATGTTAACAAAAGAATTATGTAAGAGTTCTTAGATAAATATCAAAATGTACTGTCACGTTGTCTAGGAAAACGACGAACGACACTGAAGACGAATAACTAATAGATGAAAAGACTTGATTTCTATTTAATTCCATTTCGAACATAATCATATATATGAAGATATACTAAGAAATATCACAGTATCAAAATAGTTACTGGTTGATAACGTATTGTTTATTAAAATTTTAAGCATAGGAAATAGGACTTTACTGTTCTGATTGATCATATTACCATATACAAGATAGTCTGATTAAAACAAAATACTTTATGAACAGCATTTCACCATAGAGAACTGGGTATTTGTTCTGGTAATTTGAAGGCGAGTCAAGAAATAGACCTGTTTTTATGAATAACGTATAACCAATATTCTCTTAGAACTGGAGTGTGTGCAAACTTTCTTAGTTAGTAAGTGCTCGTTTTGCATTCACACATCAATTGTCTAACATGGATTTACTCAATACTTGCTACGTGTTTCTTATGTACAATAATTAATAGGGTAGAATAGACAAGCGCTTGAAAAACAACAGGGAATATCCACGTTTTAAAACTATCGACAACATAATACCTTTCTATTGTTTTGTCAATCACTCAACATTACTATTCATAAAAGAGGGGACATTTTACGAGTCAGTACTAAGGTGTACATACATAGATATTTATGATTGATGATAGGTTTATTGAGTTAGAAATGAAAATTTATAACATTGATTAAATAGATAATAACCCAGAAACTGATATTCACTTTTAATTTCCATTAATTAGATCTCATCATTAGAAATTTTCCAGAATACTGGTTATCTATTGGTATAGTGTCTTTCAATTCACTTAATGTTACATCTGTTAAATGAACATTTATTACTTAACCAGTAGATTATATATTCAAATTCATTTCACTTTACTCAATACAAACATTTATGACTATCTCATAGATTATATGTAACTAAGTGCTTGGTGAACATATACATGATTATAGGTACTAGATAAGATCATTAAAAGTTTCAGAGTAGTGGGATATACAAGGATATTAGCTGCCATATATATATATATATATATATATATATATATATATATATATATATATATATATATATATATATATATAAAGCTTCTTCAGAGAAAAAATATCAGAAAAAATTGTTGATTATCCTCTTCTACACAGGATTATTTTTATGGAGAGTTCATCATCGTGAAAGCATCAACGGACTAGATTATCAAGGAAAAAACAATACTTGAACTATTTCATTTCAATACCTGACATTTCTATATAAATAATCAGATATTTATTGTCAAAAGCAGTACATACTTTTTAAAACTGTACTCAAAGAGTTAAATCATTCTAAGGTTTTGTGATAAAATACGAATGTTTAGTAATCAAGTTGATCACTGCTACAATGAATGTTATTACACTCTAATTCATACTGTTTGTATAATTCTATACATCAGCGAGTAAAGTATTAACACTGGTAAAGGCCAAACGTAATTCGACGGCCATTTCATCCCAGTTTGAAACTCTCTAATGATAGATACAGATGATCTCACATGATATTGAGCTTCTGACATATCGTTATGTACCAATCCAACTATACTGGCTGGATTAATCGTTCCTCAAGGTCCTACCATACCAGACAGGTCGGTTGAAGAACGGTAAGACTAAAAGCAACAAACCCAAATTCCGAAGGTGAAGTCGTACTGTTGACTGTGCGGAGGTGTGACAGCAGTAATGTGTTTCCTTCAGACAACCAGCATAACAGCGATGCCGCCTTCCCACAAGGAAGGACGGTGTTAGAAATGGTCAAACCTAAAAATACACACCTCGCGGATCTCCGTCTCCAGCGGTAAGGTCTTAACATGTACGGAGCTAACTCGAAAATTACACACAGATAGGTTGTGTGTGACTGGCCTCAAGTAGTTGTCCCCTGAACACTGCGGTTACGCTCTCAGTCACTAAGACCACCACTAATCCAATTTCCTTTTCAGGTACCTCCAGGAGAACCTTTCCATGGTGTGGACAACCGGAAAGTGATAACCGCTCTCATACCTCTAACAGCACTCAAGATCATTGACTGACTGACTGACTGACTGACTCAGGTCTTATTTGTAAGGATGATATTGAGATAGTATGCAATTTTAAAGAAACCAGTAGACTAGTGTTCATCAGTAAATAACTGCTACAGTCATTTATCATGTTATATCATGTAGTGATTGTTGAATTTCACCTGAGTCACTCAATGGTATTTCATTCCTCTCAAGATATGAACTCGATATCATATGGAGTTGGTTAACAATACAAACTATTTATCCACATCTTATCTATATATTTAAACAATACAAACAAGTATGAGATTAAAATCGCTTCATATCTTTCGTTCTACGAACTAATTCTTTCTTCCTATACTATATCTTTGTATATTACCACCAATGAATTAATTTTCACTGGTTGAAATCATGAATCCATTGAAGCTAGACCACCATGGAAAACCTGGAAGCACTGGACGGCCGTTTCGTCCTAGTATGGGACTCCTCAGCAGTGCGCATCCACGATCCCGCTCCTCGCGAGATTCGAACCCAGGACCTATCAGTCTCGCGCCAGGCGCTTAACCAACTAGACCACTGAGCCGGCATCCAACGGTGTTAATGTCTAACTTCAACCAATCCACGAAGTTGCGCCACCGTACACCATTGTCTTCAGTGAGCTGATATCTCACAACAGACCTGGTTGAACTCCACTGGTAACGGCTTCTCACTAGAACTTCAGGAGTATCTCTTGAAGTCAGTCACTAGTGAGCAGATGATTATTATTATCAGAAGGGATTGTGTGGAGATTTTAGAAATTTTCACTGGTTGAAATCATGAATCCATTGAAGCTAGACCACCATGGAAAACCTGGAAGCACTGGACGGCCGTTTCGTCCTAGTATGGGACTCCTCAGCAGTGCGCATCCACGATCCCGCTCCTCGCGAGATTCGAACCCAGGACCTATCAGTTAATTACTTTTATGAATTTGATGTTCATCTTGTTAGGCTAATAAGGTATAGCAATATGGATCGATGTATATATGTGGATGGTCCTATGTTGTAGCTTATTGACTGACTGACAATACAAACAAATAACGGGATATGTTTATATTTATGACAAATATATGAAATAATTTATAAAAGATAATTAACAATCATACATTCTATTTGTTAAAACAAAAAAGAAAAACAAAACAAAACCAAAATTACATTGAGAAAAATAGCATACCATTTCATTAGTACGATGTTTACATGTTATAGGATTAGTTGATGAATTGAATAGATCCGTTATTGTTAAACGTTTCATAATATAACTTAATAAGGTTATTATAATTTTATCATTATTACAATAAACAAATATTGATTATACAAGTAATCATTTTATGAGCTCAACTCTTAATTATTGATTAAATTGATCGATCGAGATTAAAAGGGGGGGTGGTACAACATATCATTGGAAAGTATCTCAATTTATTGACCAATATGGAAATTGTGTCATGTTTGAAATATTCATCAAAATTGTATGGTTTTTAAATCTTTTTTTTTTTTGGTTAGGTACCATGTATTATTTTAATTTATCAATTATTGCTGCATTTGATATTCATCAATTCAGTATTGACATAACTGATTTACTATATTTGTTGAAGACAATGGTGAATGTGTTGTTCAATTTCATGGATTAGTTGAAGTTAGACATTAACATTGTTGGATGAAGGCGGGCTCAATGGTGTAGTGGTTAAGCGTTCGCGCACGAGACTGATATGTATTGGGTTCAAATTTCGTGAGTCGGGATCATGGATGAGCACTGTCGAGGAGTCCCACAGTAGGATGAAACAGTCGTTCAGTACTTCCAGGTTTTTCGTGATAGTCTAGCTTCAAATGACTCATGATTTCATCTAGTAAAAATATATTAATTCTTAGTATCCGTTATAGTTACATAGCAATAAGATTTTTATTTGGTCGAACCGACAGACATTACTTTGAAGACTAGTATAGACACTAGTTGAACTAAGTTACCATACCACATCAGCTCAACAGGATGAATAACAAACGAGATCAGAATACTGTAGTACCGACGTGAAGAATGGAGAGTAAACATTAGGAATATAGTTTTAAAAACAAAGTCGACGGTACGTACTTTGTGAATGATTTTAAGCTGTTACTCACGGTTTCAAATAACTGATTGCAGTTATCGCTCTGACTTAGACAAGGTAACCTGCATTTATCAACATGGAACAAACTAACAATTAGCAACTAAAATGGACTGATGCCAATTTATTTTAAGTCAAAAAGACAGCAACAAATAGCATTAATTGATAAAATGAAAATAAGTAACCATAATAAATGCCAGAAAAGTCTTGATTAAATGTGGATTCGACATGTAGACGTAGAATGATAATAATAATAAAAGGCAATAAATATGGAAAGATTACGTTGGTTCACTTATAGGTTTAATATATGAATATTGTAGACGAAAATGGTCCACCAGGGTGCTTGATACCTGTATGGCTGCGCCACAGGATTGAGCTATACTATTCAGATTGTAGCATTAAAGTCGATACGGTGACTCACTTTCCTGTTAAACGGGATTGAGCTGTACTCTTTCGGTTGTCACATGAAAGTCTAGATGGTGTCTCGTTCTCCTGTAAACCAATATTAAATTACCACAAGGGTATATTAATAAGTATGTAGACGAAACAACTGAAGAAAAAAAAAACAACATGAAGATAGAGCTTTAAGAACTCGAACATTCATATCATTGATTATAGAATACTGATAAAAAACCAAAGTTCAAATCAAAAGTAAGAAATGAAAAATTAGAAACTATTCAGTGAAGATAACGTTACTTAATTCAATACAAATTATATTTACATTTAATTAGTAACAGTAAATTAAATCAATAATAAATCATGTAGAAAGTGTAGTGAAGTAATTTTAATTATCGAATAGAATAGAATACAAATAGAAGAGAATAGTCAACTTGAAGAATCGTGAAAATTATGAATTCAGAATAGTATTATGTAATCAATTGTTCGGAAATATGAAATATAAACGTACATTATATAATCATGTAATTGTTTTAATGAAGATATTTTATAGATGAAAGAAAATACAGTAATCATATGTTATAATATTAGCTAATTAATGATTATTACTCACTGACTTACTTTCATCTGTTACACTTCATGGAAGAGCAGAGGTCTCTTACCAACATTCTCCATCGAACTCTGTATTGAGCAATACTTTTCAGTTCTTTTCAGTTGCTATTCACTTTTTTTTTTTCATGTCTATTACCAATTCCCGATGCAGTGGTGCAGTTCAATGATTTTCTATCTACTTCCAGAGTTTTTTCCTAATTTCCTTTTCAACTGCCAGCTGCTTCTTTCTCTCCAACAGTAGGTTGTTATTGATGGTACCCGGTCAACGGACATTCAGTATCTGGTGTAGACAATTGTTTATGAATACCTGTATATTTCTGATGATGGTTGTAGTAGTTGTCGATGTTTTAGTTCCATACAGTAAAACTGTTTTGACGTTCATATTGAAGATTCTCACTTTGATATTGGTTGACAATGGTTTAGAGTTCTATATATTCTCCAACTGTAGGAATCTTTCCCTTACTTTGCACATCTTTGCCTTTACATCTGTATTGTATCCTCTTTGTTCATCGATAATGCTGATCAGTCGAGTACATGAGAGCTTACACCTGTTCTAGAGTTTTTTTCATCAAGTGTGATTGGATTGGTGTTCTCTATGTTGTATTTGAGGGTCTTGCTTTTTCCCTTGTTTATGTTGAGACCTACTGATGCAGAGGCTGCTGTTACACTGCTTTTGTTGACCTGCACTTGTTGATGTATATGGGATAGGAGGACCAGGTCATCTGCAAATTTCTAGTCGCCTAATTATATTCAATCTGTCTGCTCTATTCAGTGATTGCACTGAGATGTGGAGGTCTTCATAATCCAGTTGGCCATCAGGAGGAAGATAAATGGAGAGAGTAAGCAACTTCGTCTAACACCAGTACTCACTTGGAATACGGCTGTCAGCTTTCCTCCTTACACGACATTGCAGGGTAGTCCGTCATATGAATTACGTACGATATTGAAGATTTTCTCAAGTTCACCATAGGATGCTTTGATGATTCCGAATCCATGAGATTCTCATCCCATAAGTGCTTCTCGAACTTCTTTGGACAGCATCAAAACAACTTCTTGAGTGTGCGCAGCATATCTTTCTTCATAATAAAGGAGTAACTACTAAAATGGAGGTTTATACCAAGGTAAGGTATAAGATTAAACGTATTGCTTTGTACATAGAGGTTAGGTTGAAACTGTTGGACTGCTAAAGCTTCTACGATATACAAAATTTAATTTGTACTGCATTTAAACCACTGTGTTTGATTGTATGAATGAATCTAAAGAAAGACTCCGGCAGAGAAGTGTGGCTAGTGTTTATGATATATATATGGCCAAGGTAACACACCACATTGAGAAAAATGAACTTATTAGTACAATTTGATGTGGCCCAAATTGATACTTTGTCATTCCTACGATTACGAGCCAAACACCGGCTAGAGAATGCAATGCGAAGTTCAGCATGAGAAAATGATTTTCTTAGAAATCTCGAGAGTCCATTTTCATAATCTCCGTCATAATATTTTTTTACCTCTTTCAATGTTCTGAAAACGATCTTTTAGTTTCATAGGCACTTTTTGTTTTACTGATTCGGTTTCAGATTTTTCTCATTGAAACTAGTTGGATGACCGTTTATGATTAGTATCTGTCGTAGATTGTCAAGTTCGGGGTCACTTATATCAGTAAATCTATTTTGTCTGCTTCCTGTGGTTAGAATGTTGCGTAACGAACTCACAGAAATAAGGTCATTAATGCAAAGCAAGATTGATAACCATATCTTTTATGAAGCATTAATTTAGTTTGCCTTTTGTTAGTAGCTGCTTCTAAGGGGCTCAATAATTTGTTCTTCGTTTAGAGATTATCGTAGAAGATTTCGAAATAACAACATCATATCCATTGTCAAGAAGATAACTAGCATCTGTACTCGTGAAAATACGCTCAGATTAAAAGTCTCAACTTTTTATGGGATGTTTTAAGTTCAGGTTGCTTTTACTAAACACTTATCATCTTAAAAAGACATAAAACTATTGATTTCAGCATATTTCAAAATGTTTCAAACAAAGTAAATAGTGTGAGATTGTGTTATGTGCTAAGATAAAAACCTTAGTTTTGTACTCAGGAAAGTTGCAGTCTAAAATTATACACAACATTTTTCTATAGTATTGTAGTGTGCATTACTTATATATATACATAAGTAGTATATAACGATAGTCAGGAGTAGAATGTATTTCAGTAGAAGATCCAGAAAATATGAAGGGGAACGGATATCAATTGGTATGAAAATGCAGGAACAATGAAATCTGAGACAATGGACTGATATTTGCAAAAAAAATCAGTCAAGTTTGAGACAATGGATTGATATTTTTCATTTAAGTATTTACTGTACTGTCCTCAGATTTTAATGAGATTTTCGTGATCAATTACAGTTGGTTGTCCCCACTCTTGTTGTTGTTCACCACAGTATGTATTAAATACACGTAATATATGAATTCATGAGTCAATTAAAGCCATACCATTGTGGAAAACCTGGATGTACTGGATGGCCGTTTCGTCCTAGTACTACACTCTTCAACGTTGAGCATTTATATAAATTGCTTTGTGTATTTTCAAAGAGTATTTCCCGGACATATTTTATTATTATGTTTTCATTTCAATTTTCAATATCATTTTGATGAATCATTAATCATCTTTATATTTTACGCTGATCAAACATAACAGTCAGATAAATATGTGCCTACGAAGTTTGTACAATTCATAGGCGATGCACCGAGTCAAATGCTAAGACTGAGATTAAGAAGATCAACTCAAAAGACTTTTAGTGCACGTAAACTACAACTATTGTTTTCCACACGTCCAACTATCACTCCCAGGTTGAAAGATAAATTGCCTAGACTAGCCACCTCTTATTCTATTTATCTATCAATTCTATTGCTCCTGTGGAGCTAGTGATACTGGCAGATGTTATAGGAATTTGTACATTCGGGTTCGTGAGAACCTCCCCGTGTGGTTAAGCATAGGCGTAGTCAAATGAGTTAACGGCTCCATTTTAGACTATGTACTTCAAATGGGACATGCAGCCAACATGGAGCAATCTTTCGCAATAACATATCGTGTTAACAGCAGTCTACCTAATTACATCAGACTGAGAATCCTACAGACTGCTGAAGCAATTGCTGTTCGGATAAAAAAGCTAGAGCTTTGCATTCAAAAGAAATATATGTTCAGCCACCCCTTTTAGTCTAGCCAACTTTTGGGCCAACTAGTTAATAATCGATCTTATAATATGGTGACGTAATTTGATTAATATTCATTTTATGTCTTAAACTTATTATTATTACTATAAATATCTTTACCATTATTATTATCATCATCTTTATGATTGGTATTATTATTATTATTATTATCATTACACTTGATAACTTTTTGAGGGATTTATTCAGTATCCACCCCTATCTAACCTAATTCATATTATACTATATATTACGTAATTTCTGATTTTTCATCGATTATTTTCTCTCTCTCTCACATCATGTTGAGCATATTTATTATGATCATTTATCCTACAATTTTATTTCTCTTATAAACTGAATCAAGTTAACACATCATATTTGTCAGCCTCAACGTTAATGATTTGATTTGATTTTGTATGACAAACAACCATTATTGATTCATATAGGACAAAATTAACTGATGTAGTTTTCCTTAAACTTGGCCAATTATACGGATTATTCATTTGGATTTATAATAGTAGAACATCAGATGAAATAATTGAAAAGAGCAGCAAAGCTGCCTTCCAAGTAGGAGAGGCAGGGTTTAAAAAGTTGCACCATAAAAATACGGAGAACTGCTTTGAAGAGAGTGGATTGGAGAATAATGGTCGGTGAGCTATGCTCGATTGAAAGTAACAGTCATCAGTAAGTAAGTACGTAAGTAAGCACGTATTATTATTTGTATACATTCAGACAACCAGGA